AATAAAATATTTTTAATTTCCTCTTTCTTCAAGTAATTTTATTGTATTTTTAGAAAGAAGTATATAAATTTATTGTGTATTTATATATAGAACACTTCTTGTTCAATTTTGTATATCATTTAATGGTACTTTTTAACAAACCATTATAAAATCAAAAGTTTTATCAATTTAAAGTTCATTACACTTTGTCCTACTTCTAAAAAAATTCAATACAAATGATATAGAAAAAATATTTCACTATATTTCTGTTGTCACATTGTTTTTTATATTTTTTTCTCCATTTATATTAAAACACTTGTCAAAGAAATTTTAATAAACTGACAGTTATACGTTTGTAGGTATTGTATAATTACATGCAATATGTATATATGTATGTAGATTAATGTATATATACATACACATTTATACATATGTATTTATGAGAGTGAGTTTGTCGTTGTTAGGGCATATCATATCTAGCAACTTTTCCCGGAAAACGTTGTTTTCCAATTTGATGTTATTTTTCAGTGAAACTTTGTTTGAAAAAATGTTTTTCATGTGTGTTAACTGCCCAGGGGAGCTATAATAAACTAGGTATTAATTTAAACTTTATACTATTTGTTTATTAGCTTAAGTAATATACTCAGCAAAAATATATTAATTACTTGTACTTACCTAACAACTTACTTTGCAATGAATACTACTAAGGAGGAGGCAAAGGAGTACTACTTCTTATTTGGTGTATGTATGTATATATGTATATTCTCCTTTTAAACTAACTGAGTAAATTTTATCATTTACTTTCCAATATAAGTTTTTGCTGGGTATATATTATTTTATTGCAATGAAGTAATTTTCAACGTAACTTCACAAGAACTGAACTAGAACTGAACTAGAACTGAACTAGAACTGAAACTAGAACTGAACTAGAACTGAACTAGAACTGAACTAGAACTGAACTAGAACTGAACTAGAACTGAACTAGAACTGAACTAGAACTGAACTAGAACTGAACTAGAACTGAACTAGAACTAGAACTGAACTAGAACTGAACTAGAACTGAACTAGAACTGAACTAGAACTGAACTAGAACTGAACTAGAACTGAACTAGAACTGAACTAGAACTGAACTAGAACTGAACTAGAACTGAACTAGAACTGAACTAGAACTGAACTAGAACTGAACTAGAACTGAACTAGAACTGAACTAGAACTGAACTAGAACTGAACTAGAACTGAACTAGAACTGAACTAGAACTGAACTAGAACTGAACTAGAACTGAACTAGAACTGAACTAGAACTGAACTAGAACTGAACTAGAACTGAACTAGAACTGAACTAGAACTGAACTAGAACTGCACTAAAACTAAACTAGAACTGAACAATTACTGATTACTATCAGTAGTTGTTCAGTAGTAGACAAAACCTTTGAAAAGCTGGATATGTGGTGATCATTTCTGAAATGAAGTGGTCACGGGCGAATTGCTTTTACAAAAATATCGTTATGAGTCTAATATTTACATTCATGTTATATTAAAATTATATGTTTATTACAAGGTATGACATTTTATTATTAATTTATTTATACAAATAAATAAAAACAAAAAAAGGACAAAAAGATACACACGTTCAGTTTTATGATAGATAAATAAATAAATACGAATTGATTTTTATACTAATGCACTACATTTATACTGAACAGTTGACCTTATTTATCCCATTGTTGAATATTTGTAATTTGTTTTATTATCCGGATTTGTGTTCTTAAATTCAGCTTTAGAAAAGGTCCGAAATATGTTTTACTCTATAATTTAGGAATATATGCCAGGTTAAATAAAGTTTGTTAATAGTATATATGTAGTTCCAAATAAAATATTATAAAAGCTCAATTCCTTATCTATTTATTTTAAAAATTTCGGTATTATATAAGATACATACATACATATTAATAATGATATCTTAATTGTAAAATTTGTACCAATACGATTCAGTTTGTTGCTATCTGTGCATACATACGCTTGTCAAGACAAATTCTTTATTTTTTTAAGAGAAAAATTGAAGGATATTGCTTTTTCAAAAACTATTAAAATATTAATTAATTTATAATCGCCCTCTGACCCCAATACATGTACTAAATATGTAAGTGTCAAAAATAATTCAAATAATTCAAAAGAAGATTTTAATAATTGACATTGAAGCCATTACACACTTACCCTGTCGACTTGTTGGCATCAACTGACTGAACATTGCAATTGGCAACATGCACAGCATGCTGCCACACCAAATACACACTATAATTTTGTACGCATGACTTCGGGTCTGCCAACGTCTCGAACGTAACGGATGGCATATAGCGTAGTAGCGTTCACAGGATATTGCCACAAGTGTCCATGAGGAGACGGCAACAGATGCAGCTAAAATAAATAAAATAAAAATATTAATGAAAATTACTGGGCACTTGATTTTGTTTTATTGACAAATACTTGACATTGGTAGATCAAGAGTTGAAAATAGTTTTTCATGAAATAATTTTTTATTAAAGGTTTTCTAAGAACTTGCTGAAAAAATTGTATCTTTTAATAAATTCTTTGTTTAATTTTCATACTATTGTATAAAAAGCTATTGATTTGCAATTTTTTTAATCAATCTATATATATAAAAGAGTAGCGTTACTGACTGACTGATTCATCATCGCACAGCCCAAACGGCTGAACCTAGAATCATGAAATTTTGACAGTACATGTGTTTTTGGTTATGTAGATCCACTAAGGAGGGATTTTTTGAAATTTGTAAATTTGAGGGTAAAAAAGGGGAAAACGGGTAAAACAGGTTTTCTTGATTATCCAATATTAGTGATACAAGCAAAATGTTAAATGCATCTACTTCTACTCTTAAAAAGAGTAGATGGGTGTCTGGTACTTTTTCGAAATTCGTACTTTTAAGGGGTGGAAATGTGTAACAAAGGTGATTTTGGTACCTTTTTTGGTCCTTTATAACTTTTTAACTAATAAACATGATAAAATTTTTGTAAATATTTTGGACACATCTTTCAAAATTATGAGACACGTGTTTCGTACTTTTGTAAAATTCAGTCCTGTATGGGTGTGAAAGGGAGAAAACTGTATTTTTGGTACTTTTTTAGCACACTATGAAAACTATTTCGTTTTATTGAAGTATTCCTACTAAATTACGAACTAACTCTGTAATATTTATTGAAACAAAATGTTTGCTATTTCACTGGGGAAAAAAGTACTAAAAAGAGAAAAACGGGAAATTTAATTTTATTCAAACTCATTGAGCCAATTTTTATAAAATTTGTAAAATTAGTTTATTTAATGACATAAAATAAGCTATTGGTATATTATTTTGGAATTCGAGTACTAAGGCCTATATGGGACCAAATTTGAGTAAATTTTTTAGTACCTTTTTGAAAGCACAATTTTTCTGGAACAAATGAATCGTTTGAGTTTTATCTGTGATATATAGATTTAAATACGGAACATTTTGTAATTATAATTCTCAAAAAAGTATATTTCTAAGCGAAAAGGGGAAAAATTGTACTAATTTTATTAGAACTTTCCACTAAGGTAGAATTTATTCCACTTTTGGTACTTTTTCTTTCTTCAAATGATACTCTATATGTTTTATAATATGAATTCAAAACACATGATTATTAAACATACACGGTCCTCATTGAATAAGATTCTTTAAGAGAGAACTTTTTAGTACTTTTTATCTCATAAATGGTACTTTTTGAATTTTCTAAAATATTCAACCTAGGAACATAAATTTTAACATACATGGTCCTGACTGATTCTTTGGTACTTTTCCATTCTTCAAATGGTACCTTTTGGTTTCTCTATAATGGTTAACCGGAACACATCCTTATTAAATGAGAATTTATTGAGAGAGACTTTTGTACTTTTTCGTTTTTCCGATGGTACTTTTTGATATTTTTATGCTATTGAACATAGAAATATACAATTTAAAATATAGGGACCTTAGTTTATGAGAATCTACTGAAAGGGACTTTTGGTACTTTTTCATTCATCAAATTATATTTTTGAATTGTCTATAATATTGAACACAGAAACATAAAATTTTTGATTAAATAAGAGGTATTTTATAGTACTTTTTTTTCAAATAGTAATTTCGATATTTTATATAATGTGGAAGCTAAACGAATGAAACTAAAAATACAAACTTCTTTCTGAGTGCGAACTTATTCATGTGATATTGCACGTAAAAAACTGAAACATTAAAAAATTTTTTAATCAATTTTAATTTTCTATAAAAGTAAAAGCACCCAGGGTATGCTAGTTATTATATAAATGCATTCAACGTAAACTGTCTGTGAAAATAGTAATGGTTTTTTATTGGCATATAATTTTCATGGGAAGGCTATTTAATAAAACTGAACTATAACTGAACTATAACTGAACTAGAACTGAACTAGAACTGAACTAGAACTGAACTAGAACTGAACTAGAACTGAACTAGAACTGAACTAGAACTGAACTAGAACTGAACTAGAACTGAACTAGAACTGAACTAGAACTGAACTAGAACTGAACTAGAACTGAACTAGAACTGAACTAGAACTGAACTAGAACTGAACTAGAACTGAACTAGAACTGAACTAGAACTGAACTAGAACTAGAACTGAACTAGAACTGAACTAGAACTGAACTAGAACTGAACTAGAACTGAACTAGAACTGAACTAGAACTGAACTAGAACTGAACTAGAACTGAACTAGAACTGAACTAGAACTGAACTAGAACTGAACTAGAACTGAACTAGAACTGAACTAGAACTGAACTAGAACTGAACTAGAACTGAACTAGAACTGAACTAGAACTGAACTAGAACTGAACTAGAACTGAACTAGAACTGAACTAGAACTGAACTAGAACTGAACTAGAACTGAACTAGAACTGAACTAGAACTGAACTAGAACTGAACTAGAACTGAACTAGAACTGAACTAGAACTGAACTAGAACTGAACTAGAACTGAACTAGAACTGAACTAGAACTGAACTAGAACTGAACTAGAACTGAACTAGAACTGAACTGAACTAGAACTGAACTAGAACTGAACTAGAACTGAACTAGAACTGAACTAGAACTGAACTAGAACTGAACTAGAACTGAACTAGAACTGAACTAGAACTGAACTAGAACTGAACTAGAACTGAACTAGAACTGAACTAGAACTGAACTAGAACTGAACTAGAACTGAACTAGAACTGAACTAGAACTGAACTAGAACTGAACTAGAACTGAACTAGAACTGAACTAGAACTGAACTAGAACTGAACTAGAACTGAACTAGAACTGAACTAGAACTGAACTAGAACTGAACTAGAACTGAACTAGAACTGAACTAGAACTGAACTAGAACTGAACTAGAACTGAACTAGAACTGAACTAGAACTGAACTAGAACTGAACTAGAACTGAACTAGAACTGAACTAGAACTGAACTAGAACTGAACTAGAACTGAACTAGAACTGAACTAGAACTGAACTAGAACTGAACTAGAACTGAACTAGAACTGAACCTAGAACTGAACTAACTGAACTAGAACTGAACTAGACTGAACTAGAACTGAACTATAACTGACCAGAACTGAACTAGAAACTGAAACTAGAACTGAACTAGAACTGAACTAGAACTGAACAGAACTGACTAGAAATGAACTAGAACTGAACAGAACTGAACTAGAACTGAACTAGAACTGAACTAGAACTGAAACTAGAACTGAACTGAACTAGAACTGAACTAGAACTGAACAGAACTGAACTAGAACTGAACTAGAATGACTAGAACTGAACTAACTGAACTAGAACTGAACTAGAACGAACTAGAACTGAACTAGAAATGAACGAGTAACTGAAGAACTAGAACTAACTAGACTGAACTAGAACTGAACTAGAACTGAACTAGAACTGACTAGAACTGCACTAGACTGAACTAGAACTGAACTAAGAACTGAACTAAGAACTGACTAGAACTGAACTAAGAACTGAACTAGAACTGAACTAGAACTGAACTAGAACTGAACTAGAACTGAACTAGAACTGAACTAGAACTGAACTAGAAACTGAACTAAGAACTGAACTAGAACTGAAACTAGAACTGAACTAGAACTGAACTTAGCAACTGAACTAGAACTGAACTAGAACTGAACTAGAACTGAACTAGAAAGGACTAGAACTGAACTACTGAACTAGAACTGAACTAGAACTGACTAGACTGAACTGAACTAAACTGAACAGAACGAACTGAACTAGAATGAACTAGAACTGAACTAGAACTGAACTAGAACTGAACTAATGAACCAAGAACTGAACTAGAACTGAACTAGAACTGAACTAGAACTGAACCAGAACTCAAACTAAGGTATAACTGAACATGGTTTAGGACATGTTAAGCAGTTACTATTTTGGTCCCAATAAATACGTTGATATTCTGAAACTTTTTCATTAATTTTAACCTTTCACATTTTTAGTGCTTGATTTCCTGATTATTTTTAAAATCACTATAAAATCACGCAAATCAATTTCATCAATTGATGTTTCATGTTTAAATCAAAAAACAATACACCATGAAATTGTATGAATAGTAAATAAACATTATTAGTACAAAAACCTTATAACGCACATCTAAATAAATATAAATTAAATATAGTAGTTTTTAGCCTATAAAAATAAAATCGATAGAAATACGTACATCGTTCAATCTTTTTGAATGCATTTGAGTTATCATGTTTCTACACACAAGGTCATGGTCAGAAAATTGGAAACTATTTGTATACCTTTGTAAATTATTTTTATGTAAACAATTTGCAATTTAAGGAAGTTGTATTTTAATTAAACTGCCACATGGTTATGTATGTATGTGTATAACACAGACTGTTTGCTTTATAAATAAATTTTAATTAATAACTTTATACATATTATATGTTATTTTTTTTTGGAATAATATGTATTTGAATAAGTTAAGCAAATATTTATATGCATTTTTAATTTCTTATTCATATTTATGCCTTATTTGTCAAATTTAACAATTAAATTTAATTTAATTTCATTCAAAATTGTCTTGTGTAAAAATTACTTTTAAATTTAACAATGGTTTTTCGAAATTTCTTCATCACATCTGGAATTCGAGATATCATGTCCTGAATTTTTAGAAAATTAAAAAAAATATTAAAAACAATAAAGAAATAGCTAGGACTAATAGGTAAAAAGTTACACTTATTTGAATAAAACCCTGTATGGCCAAAATGTCCAACTTTGAGCCCTTCTAAGTCAGGCAGTTCTTGACCGATAGAGCAGAAAATTTGTGTCTGGCCTACTATCTAAACGACATCGATTTTAAAACTTGCGTCACTTGACACAAAATTGCCCA